AAAAAAAAAAGAAAAAAAAAGAAAAAGAAAAAAGCAGTCTTACATACAGTATTTATTTTACATTGAAAGACAAAAGAGTAACAATCTGGTTAGATACAATAGTTCTAAAAAAATTTATATCCCAGTACAATGACCTCAGTTTTATCTTAATTTAGAATCAGGAAATTAAGGTCATCCTGGTATCCTATCTTTAAGGCATTCCTGCGGTTTAACTAACTGGTGTGTATTATTTAGCTTCATGGAAAGAAACAGTTGGGTATAATCTTCATAACACTAAAAATGTATGCTATGGCTTCTAATGATACAAGCTTCAAGATTCAAGGTTACTTTTTTTATACCTGTAGGTAAATTTGCTTTACAGAAAAATGATAGCATTTGGCAGACACATATTTGGTAATTGGACAAGATGACTCAAATTTAAAAAACAGGTCTTATTATGTTTAGTGACGGCAGCAGGAAGAAATGTTCAATCGGACATAAGAGTCCTCACACCACTGAACAAAGTCATCAATGACTGGGCCATGACTAGTTTCACCCCCTTTCAGTAAGCTGACAATAACAGAGTCATCTGCATATTTAATGATGGCCCTGTGTTCATATCTGCTCTGACACATGTTTGTATAGAGAATGAATAATAAGGGCGATAAGACGCACCCTTGGGGAGAACCTGTCGAGGAGAACACTGGGTCAGACAGAACCCCATTTATTTTCACTCTTTGTGGCCTATCAGTTAAAAAGTCTAAAACCCAGCCCACCAGGTTTTTCCTCATTTCAAACTGTTCTAAAAGTCTTTTGATTAAAATATAGGGCTGTATTGTATTAAAAGCAGAAGAGAAATCCATGAACAGAAGTCTTGCAGAAGTCCCTTTACTCTCTACATGTTTAAGACTCAGATTGAGTAGAGTCAGAAGCTCGTCTTCCACTCCTCTATTGGGCATATATGCAAATTGCATTGGATCCTGATCGTGACAGCTGATGTTCAATCTCTTCCATAATCACTTTTCTGGTGATTTTTTTCAAAAACCTTAATCACGACTGAGGTAAGGGCAACAGGCCTGAAGTCGTTTAGAACTTTTCGGACGATTAGATTTAGTGAGTGTAACCACGACAGCTTCTTTTCCAGAGAGAGGTCACATTATGTATTTGCAAGGATTTATTAAAAATAACCTGAAATATAGGATTATGTTCTTAAGCACAATGTTTAATTAGGCGGCCACGAATGTTATCAGGACCCTGGCTCTTGTTAACATTAACTGTATGAAAGGCCTGAGATCAGTGCTGAGTATCTTTCAGTTCCAAAATATCCTTGCTAAAATCAGAAGAACTAAAACCAGCATAAAGCACATTCAACGCGATTGCAAAATCTCTGTCTGAATTAAAGCCGTCAAAAATGATCTGACTGCTGCTCTGGGGAATTTGCAGCCTTGCTATACTTTTGTCCAGGTAGACCCAAAATCTTTTGCAGCAGATTTGCATTCAAGAAGATTTTTGTAGCTCTGTTTTGCTTTCAAGATCTGCATTTTCAAATCTTTGGTGGCTGTCTGAAAGTCAGAAACAGCCCCCTCTGTCATGGTCCTGGGTGAGACCCAGTGTTTTGTGTTTAATTTATATTTCTTGATTATTTGCTATTTGTGATTTTAGATTAAATGAATTTAATCGAATTTTGGAGTAAGCTGGAAGCTAGGCTAAGTGACCAGGAGGGAAGATCAAGATGGAATAACGTAAGAATCCAAGGTATCACAGAAGGGACAGAAGATGTGTGGA